GTTAAGTAAGTACAAGACGACAAATAAAACAAAGGTGAAGTGCGGTAAACTTTTTATGGTAGGAATTAACCCCCCCCCCTTTCCCCAAAGTTTAGTATTTAGAATTAAGTAATACCAGCAGGGCTCGAAATACCGGATGCAAATGCACCTTATTGCAAGTAAAATTGAGGCTGTACAGGTATTTCTGATGTCTGCCTGGAAGAAAAATGCACTGGTCCATGTACTATGTCTATATATACATGTAGGTGCATCTATTTTTGCATTTACTGCTACCAAAAGTAATAGTAAATGTCCTTAGTATGACCCATACTTTTTAAAGTCTAAATGGTGCACTGATTTTGTATCTGCCACAATGCAGATATGTATAAAAAGTATTTAGAGCCCTGCTAGTGCAGTCCTGGTATATCAACAGTTACAGTAGTTGTATCTTACATGCAAAGTATAACCTTTTCTACACCGCCATTAGCAATATCAACCCCACGTTCCATTGCGTAAAGTGCTGTTAATATGTAGTTTAAGTTTTGTAATCTCTCCTTGCTTTAAATTAGCTGTATAAGTCTTATGACCACCAATATGCTGTACATGTATAGTCGTAAATTGTATAACTAGGTATTGTTGTAAATTCGCATGTTGAAGTTTGTACTGTATCAAGTGCGATATGATGTATTGTTTATGTGATTTCGTGAATAAAGATTTTTTAAAAAAAATTGAAAAAATCAACAGTTAAGCTAACCTGTAAATCCGGTTAGTACGAGCAACAGGAGCCACATACAGATGTTGCAGACCACTCGAAGGGCCGCCCCATTACCACTCGGAGCCGGGGGTGGCTGCTGGTGGCGCTTCGCCCTTGTTTTCGTCGTCCCCATGGGCTTTACCGACTTTGACATATCTTCCTGCAGCTGGAAGCACGTCAGATCTACCGAGGGATCTATGGAGGGGATACAGACGGCGTTAGTTACGTGCGGGCGCGTGCTTTCTGCATTACTTTTTGAATTAATAAGAAACGAGGAGAAGTCCTGCAAGGGCACTAGGTTTAAAAGCATTCTCTAATGATACCGTAGAAGAGATCACAGGTCATCCTAGTGATAGACAGCTAAGGACGAGAGTACATGTACTACTTTGATGTACGCTACTAAAAAAAATACGGAAACTAATAAATCAAGTGGGACTCTACGCCTTGGGTAGCGTTCCCAAATGGCTTGCAAACATACACGTACACAGCGAAACAGTTTCTCAAGCAACTGGATAGAGTATTCGAAATCTATTTAGTTGTTTGTGTTGAGTTACTGTTTTCTCGTATTCCATTAACATTACCTGGATGTCTAACTTTCTTCAACGTTTGCAAGAATTTTTACACTCTATCTTTTAAACATTTATAATGTGAGTGTGCATGCCTTCTTTATATCCAAAAACCTAGATTCAAAAGACTGGATTCGGAATAAAGCAAAACAATTTCTCAAACAACTGGATAGAGTATTCAAAATCTATTCAGTTGCTTGTGATGAGTAACTGTTTTCTGCTCCTTTTAAACATTTATAATGTGAGTGTGCATGCTTTCTTTATATCCAAAAACCTGGATTCAAAAGACTGGATTCGGAATAAAGCAAAACAATTTCTCAAGCAACTGGATAGAGTATTCAAAATCTATTCAGTTGCTTGTGATGAGTAACTTTTTTCTGCTATTCTATTAACATTACCTGGATGTCTAACTTTCATCGACGTTTGCAAGAATTTTTACACTCTTTTAAACATTGATAATGCAACGAAGCAAAATTGGGCTTTCGTCATATCCACTAACCCACAGACTGGATTCGGAATAAAGGGATCTAATCAAATTAAATGGTGTTTTATCCATCAAACACGTGTACTTTGCAGCCAAGGGCTGAATTACGTCCAGTTGTACAAGTCATGCAAATTCATTACACATTTATTTACATTTATTTACACAGGCATTAACACAAATATCCACATCATTATTGAAACGTCTTTGACATACTATCCGAGACAAACAGTGACTGTTCAATAGACGGATCATATATGGGACACTAGTCTGTTTGTACCGCTCAGTTCTACATTTGGTAAGAGTCAGTTCGTTACTGGAACGAGTGGATCTAGTAATTACTGTGGAAGTTGCAGATCTAACGTAGACGCTGTAAAGATAGGTTTGACAAGACAATGTGAAGATTTTACGGGAGGAATGATTGCATATGTATGCTACTTTTACAACAGATGCGCACGCTCCAAGGGCGTCTACTGCAGACGTGATGACTTTGGCCGTGTTTATGTGAAGTCACCCAAGGCGCTTTACATGTGGTTTACCCCGAAGCCGATTTCAAGTGGCTCCATCTGAACGCTCCAAATCACATTAAAAGCGCCTCGATCCCAAGCCACTTCTAGAGGTGGTTTCGAATCGGTTTTCCCGCATCGCGATTTGCGTCTGGATGCAATGTGATTTCAATGTAACTTCACCTGGTCATGGATTACGTGGTGATATTTCTTTATTTATATGCAATACCAACTTTTACGTGGCAGCAACTTAAAGAGCAGTAATGGTCAAATAATGTGTCCGTTCTAGGACGAGCTTCACCACCTCTGGCGGGACCACGTCGGCATTCGGCCGAGATACACTTGGAGGGGGGCATCAGTGGGCAGGTCGTTGACCTCTGACAATAATGACACGATACCTAGCGTGTTTTCATCAAATAACAATGAATGTAGGTTCGGAGAATCGTGATCGGGCACGTTTTAAAATGAATGTGTGGCACGTGGACCAGATGTGAGGAATGTGAGTTACTCGAATCGCGATTTGGGTGACTTTACATAAACAAGGCCATAGTCCACCAATCCTGGGAGGAATGATAATGAAGCTAACCTTGGTGCATCATGAAGCGAGATTTATTGATGTAATCACACTCAATAGCGGCTGGATAGACGAATCCTTCGCCGCCAGGAGGCTTACAGAAAGGACATGCAATCATGTCCTTTCCTTCGCCCACCGGTCATGCTTAATAATTCAACAATGTCGTATAAGCATACCAGATGATAAAAGTATGGCGGCTTTTCAGACATATGGTAATTCGCTAAAACGTGCGTAGGTTATACGGCCTTGTCTGATAACTTTTTTTGTTATACTGAAGGATGTGCGTCATTGTCATAGTACTTTCCGAAAAATACATTTAATCAGATGTTGCAGTTTTTTAAAGGATTTTTCGAAATTCAATGATTTTGTTTTGCAAAATCACCATACTATTCTTTTGCCCAGAGGTAGGTGATTGGAACAGAACATTTTAAAAGCATTCATGGTGAACAAATCAAAACGTGTATGAACATTGTTAAAGTACTCTTTATTTTATTACCTTTGACCACAGCAAGTACATTGTATTGACGACATCATGTTAAAACTCAAAATCTAATACAATAGGGCAAAAATAAACAAGCGGGCCAAAAAAATAAATTCTGCATTTTCAAGCTTTGAGTTCTTTAGCCTTGTTAAAAAAAATTGAGGCTACAAACATAATACTCCAATCAACATTTCTTCTTGTATGCAACCTTATTAAATGACCCTTTAGATGTTAATATGCCATTATTAGGCCACACCAATTTAATTTGTTGCTTCTCAGATAGCCCTGTCCATTTTTTTTTTGCTTTGCAAAAAAAAATTATTTCACATTAACTGTAAAATGCTCAATGAAAGACATCATATTTTGGCCCCAACGGTTAAAAAAAGTAATTTTCTTTGTAGTGTTTAATTTTTTCAATGTAACAATGCAATTTTGTTTCATTAAAACTTCAAAATCTATTATCTGAATTCTAAACCAGCCTGGTATGTTCGACTCATGGCTCATATTGTAACATTTTATGGGTGCACTTTCCTGTTTTTTTCGCCCTGTTGTTCCTGATTTTTCCTGAAAAAATCCGAGAAACCACAAATTAAATTGGTGTGACCTTAACTATTTAACTAATTAAAGCAGAACTGCTTGTCATAGATCATACCTATCATACTACTGCTCTGGGTATAACCGATAGACGTTTACGACATATTTTTTCCATGTTGACCGCCGTTGGAGGGAAGCAAAATTTCTTTTTCTTTTTGGTCAACCATAATTGATGCCAGCCATAGAAATTACTTATCGCAGCCTTGTCTAAGTTTTTATATATATCTTACAGCACGTAAAGCCCCTTCCTTGCTTCCGTCCTTGTCTCAAATTGATTTTGTTTCCACCATTTGTCCTCTAACGTCCCTGTCAGCTAATGTAGGCCCTCCTGAGGTTGATATGTGGACGTCCGTAGGCTGAAAATTGCCGGCTTATTAGGGGGGATACGCCGCTTTAACATGTACATCCGGCACCTCTCTCCGGGATCCAAGCACGTCCAACGTTTGCTGTACAATGTCTGGTTGCCAAACATGTTAATTTTCTCAACTATGTCAAACAACAGTTACAGTAGTATTCTGCAAGTCTATTTCGAGATGTGTATTTTTGTGTTTTTTTACCTTAACCCATGATATTATATTTCAACATATCGTGCTTGAGGAGAATTTATAAGTTGCTAATTATCATTTGACATTCCTAAACGTCCACCATTTGCTGTACAATGCCTTGTTGCCAAACATAATAATTTTCTCAACTATGTCGAACAACTGTTACAATAGTATTCTGCAAGTCTAATTCGAGTATATTCTACCTTACTGATATTATATTTCAACACATTGTGGTTGTGGAGAATGTATATTTTGCTAATTATCCTTTGACATTCCTCTCTCTTTGCTGAAGATGTTGCGGTTACGACCTAGTGGAAATGAGTTCTGATAATAAACTTGATTGTTTCCTTGTACATGACTAGAAATTAATGTGATGAAGCACAGATTCCAATTAAACGCCTGGTACAAGTATGGAGGACCCAGGGGACAAGCATATTTAGGAAGTGATGTTCCATTTTCTGTTAGGCCACACCAAGTAAAGTTTATGGATGACGTCTGCGCGCGCATTGGTTTTGGCCTGTTCCTAGAAAAAAAAAGAAAGAAATTCCACTTCCTGTAAATATGACCAAAGAGTCACGACAGTGCCGCAAATCGTCAGATTAATGTAACCCGTAACGCCGAAAGCCTGTGCCTGGTTAAAAAATGGAAACAAAAATGAAAAAAAATGCTATATGGCACTGAAAAAAATCCTGTCAATAGTTCCAAAACAGTGCCGTTTTTGGAACTATTAACAGACAGGACGGTCCTGTCAGCAGTGCAATATTTCTTATTTAGGCATCTTGTTTTTTAGGGCCCTTCTTGTTTTTTTCCGCCCTCTTTAGATTAGATTTAGGGTCTCCAAAGGACGTCATCCATAAAATTTACTTGGTGTGGCCTTAAAATAGTTTCCAGGTGAACCGATACTGACGACATACCGGAAATATTCCCAAGTCTGGTTAACGTCATGCATGCCAACCCCCATAAAGTGTTCACCAACAACACTCAAAACCCTTTTACCGGCAAAGTCGTTAGAGGACGTGAGACTCAAGGTGAGGGGGATATATATATACAGGCACACAAATCTTATTACAGCGTCCAATCCGTCCTCTGGTGTTGCGCATTGGCAATATCACACCTGGACCTCGCGGCATTGCCACCCAACCAGGCAGTTTGGAAAATGCTGACGCATTGGTTTCTCTACACTTTCGAAGATATTCCGTGGAGAACTGGATGTTACACATGGGCCCCCCTGTGGACGCCAATTAAGGCCACAGCAAGTAAATACTATGGATGACATTCTCCACAGACTCAAAATTTAATACGAGCGGGCGAAAAAAACAAGGCGGGCCGAAAAAACAAGGTTCCTACATTTCAAATTTTTGATTCAATCATTGTACAAATGTTTTTGACTCAGTGGGAACATCACATATACACAGCCAGCATGACATATGTGTAATCAAAGTAAGAAACAAAGCATTAAATCAGAGCCCTTTCTTGTCGCCTCCCTTCATAGCTATCTGTCATCCACCTTCTTGCATGGCAACAGACATCTTTGCCCAATTTCGGCATGTTGATCACTGTTCAAAATTTCTTGATTTTTTTTTCAAAATCAGGCGAAAATTAATGCGCGACTGATGTCATCCATAAAAATTACTTGCTGTGGCCAATTAATCGGTTTTGTGCGGGGAGAGGCAGGAAGGAAACATTCACCTTGTGTCAAAACTATCCATCGCAGTCGTAATTTCCCAACATTTACAGCATCATAATCAGTGTAAATGTCACGCAGTTTAGTTGAACTTGCTCTGTCCTTTAGATGACTATGTGTGTAATAAAAACATGTTAGTGTTAGGCTTGCGTGGTTGAAGGAAATGTGGGGGCTGTGGCTAAGATTTAATATTTAAGTGGATCCGAGGGCAGATTCTCTCTCCTGAAAAAGTTGAAAGCGAAACACTACTGTAGCAAAATGCCTGGTAAATGACGTTATAGGTGTAGAGAACGTCCCTGCCAAAAGAAGTGTGTCAATCTGGTAATGTAGAACAACGTCTCATCCAACATGAACAAACATAACCAATAAATCTAACATTTACAATATGTCTCTACTGCATGTAATATTGCAAAGTATGCAATTGTGTTGCAAATAATGACCTTGGATTTCAGTATATCATTACTTAAATGGAAATGTATTAAGTTATGTTTTTTCAGGCGTTTGCAATCCAAAGTATTCTGATATTGCTACAATTTTTTTTGATATGATAAAACAATGATAAAACAATTGAACGGGTACCATTTTTCAATCAACAGGGGTTCCCTAAAACTTTAAATGTGTTACAAGTATACTCCTGAATATACTCCACAAAGTACATGACCTGCTTTTGGTAACAAAAGAAAGTTTCAGAGGAAAAGACGCCATAGTTTACTACTCATACCGTTAGAATGTTAAGAAGACACAATCTTACCATGGTTAAGACCATTTTACCCTTTTTACATAATTAACTAATTTACTGTACTGATTCTCGTGTGTTATACTCATACAAGCTTACTGCCAGGTTAGTTCATAAACTTTTCAACAACATTCGAAGCTCCATATCAATTAGACATGTCCAAATTAAACTGATTTTGCCAAACGCTTACAATCAATACAATGTCATTGAAATTAGCAATTCTTAATTTTGTCACGCTTATGCACCATTTAAAGTAGACTTTTTCACGACGAATTTGGTATCAATGTACTTAACAGTAATTCCTCTACAACACTGCATTGTGGTACAGCTATTAATAGTAGTGCTTCCAAATCATTACAATTATCTAAATATCATCGTAATCAGCAATTCCTAATTTTGTGACATTTGGGTCCCTTTAAGGTAGACTTTTTCACGACGAATTTGTATTGTTTGGCAAAACCGTTAAGGTTTAGACATGTCAAAAATGTCTACTTGATATGGAGCTTCAAATAATATTGATAATTAACTAATTGATAATGCTAATTATAATTCTATTTAAGTGCTTACCCAGGCTATCGTGGGACCTGTAGTATGAGCGTGTCCTCTTGCTCTTCCTGCCGAAGGACGAGGGGAGAGATCCCGTGTAGAGCGTGCCGTCCCCCAGCTTGGACGGCTCCGACCCATGCAGCAGGACAGAACCGTTCATGGGCTTGATCTCGATGGCTGTGTCGTATCTCTCGCAATGCATCCTCATCCTCAGGCCGTATCATCGATAGGAGCGTTCCCTGGTGAAAAGACAAGGCCGACCATTAGATATACATGAAGCCCTAATGACAACCGATGTCGTCCTTTTCATCAAACATGACTTACGGGCAGCGGCGGAGATCCAGTACAGGATGCCTGTCTCATAATGGGGCTCATGAAGGTGACATTTACTCCGCCCGACATGACCCAAGGGCATGTTATCTGCTCAACCTCTACATCTGCGTGGGCTTCCCTCCAGCTCAAGCGACATTTCTCTTGCTTTGAACGAATTGATAGCATATTTGATGTCCTTCTAGGTTCAATGATTAATAATGACTTAGCACAAACACTAAACTTTCTGGTTGGAGCTAATTTCTTTTAAGAACACACACACCGAGAAAAAACAAACTAATGGCGATTCTTTGAGAGAGGGGTTTTGGTAATTAATGGAGTCGATTTCGTGTCCATTAGCCAGGAGTCGTTTTAGAAGGAGAGAGGGGGCGGGCAGTACTCAACGGGGAGAGCACCAAGGTCATTGCCAGCCAACCGAACCTGTCTGTGAGTAACAACGCCCAAGCGGGAATTTAGGGAGAACCAAATGAACTTTACCATGGGTATGGTCCGATACACAACAGAACATCATCACTGTTCCCCATGCAAGAACCAAACGGCTGCAACAGTCGTTCCTGCACTACACCATTAAACTCTACAATAACCTACCCTAAACCTACGCTGGACCTTGCATAGCCTGACATAGCATCTTTGTGCATATGTTATAAATAATTTTTACATGTGTCTTTTGATTTAGTTTAGATGTATTATTTTTCAATGTGAACGTTGTTTTTCAAATAATGTGACAAATTGTACCTAATTCAGGGGGATGCGCTTCTGCTCCCCCTGCTGTTGTACATTTGTAAAAATGATGAGCAATAAATAAATAAAGGTGCGTTTACTATACCGTGACAGTATGGGATCTACATACAACGTAAGTTAAACTGAAAAAGGTACAGACAGGATTTTGTACAAACAACTATAAAAGGGGTGCTACTAAAACCTAAATCGGGTGTAACTGGCAGAAAGGCAAAAAAATGCCTAGTTTATGAATAGTGTGCAAAATTGAATGTAATGTACGTATTTTCTAGCTCCATGGTAATACAAACAAAAGTAGTCGTGCTTTCAAGTACCAGAGTTATCAACCAAGGATTGAGGTGTTTAATAACTTATTTATCTCCTTGAAGTATAGTAGGATGGTTGCCACCAGGTTAAGCAGGGGCATCATATAACAATGTTAAAAGTAATATGTACACAATCTACGTGTATACCGGCTATACAGATACAGAAGTTAAAACCTACTGCCGCCGAATCAAATTACTGTCTCCATACTGTAGTTTGGTACTCCAGTCTATACAAGAAGTGACACTAATTAAATGCTTATTTGGTGGGTAATGAGATTAGCTAGATTAGAGTTTTTAACTAGATTATGGAGATAGAGAGAGGCCGGTATAGAAGGCTACCTGTATGTGAAAGAATTTGTAAATATTGTAATGCAAAGGCTGTGGAAGACGAAATACACTTTATCTCAAACTGTTCCTTTCATAGCATCGCTCGAAATGAGTTAACTATTCAAACTTCTATAATTTATCCCAATTTTACTAATTTACAGACCAAGTAAAAACTATTCTGCTTTTAACTTCCCAAAACCCACTAATTTTAGAAAAGGTGGGACATTCCGTCTTCCATGGTCTAAAAAAGAGAAGTCAAACCCCTTAGACATAGTTTTAGACATAGCTATAGCTCTAGACAACTACCTTTTATCATGTAGATTTTAGTTATTTTATACTACGTTTCATTGTTCTTTTATGTTTGTATTCTGCAATTAGCCCCCCGGGCATGAATTTGCAATAAACTTCTATTAATTAACTGGACAACTACAATGTTTCGGGGGCGAAATGTGATCGGTGAAATTCTTACTACAATTTGTCATGTGTCACGTCAGCTAAATATAGTTTATTGATTTATTGACAGAAGCTCACACGTCGTAATGAAAAGGTACTTTATCAACAGATATTTGCCAAAGACGTTCTGAATTAAAATGACTCTTGTTTACTTTTCTGTACCAGTTCCGTTCGTTGTGTTTTTGTATTTTACGAGATTGAAGACTAGCAACATTTTTTACGGCATGTCCACTGTATGATGATAAACGCCCAAAGCTGTTAAACCTTTGTCTTCTTGATCAACGAAATTTGCTACATAAAAAAATGCTATAGATATATTTAATTTCTTTCTAGAAGGCAAAAATAATAATAAATAACTGTATAATAATAGGAAAATGTATCATAGAATGTCTAGACTTAAAAAAAAGTAGTATTAGTTGACTTATCTATTGTTTTGTACGTATGTTAATATTGTTGTACCAATGTATCTGTCTGTATGTAGTATCTACATGTAGTTAAGTATCTTACGAAAGTCGCTGTACTTTTGTTGTGTTTATAAAGTTCAATGTCATGAGGTTTGACCGTTTAGAAACAGTCAATGTGACACACAAGGGCGATTTAGTCGTTTTCAAAGTCAGGTTTGATGACCAAAAGCAAGTTCCTGACAGTGTGCATGTTTCATGCCGGCGAAAGGCAACAGTCAATCAGGCAATGTCGTGATTGATTTTTATGATAGATCTCAGTGGGAGTTGTGGAGCTCAGTAGAGACCACAGATTAGAACCCATGGGAGATAACAGTCCAGATTGTGCACGGCGGTTTTTCTTTGTATTCCACGGAAACATCTGTGAAAATGCAGGCAGCTATTCATCATATCCATTATCGGTCGTTTGCTTGCAGCTATCTGACCGTAGCCACAAAGTCAAAATTTGCCTCTGAACTTTACCGTTAAATTAATTTAAATCTTTTAGCTAGACTATAGGACAGTATGGCATACAAATGTAACTACGAAAAACTGGTGTAAATGTCAGTGAAGTCAGGTAATGTATACTAGTACTTATTAAATTGTATCGGAATTAACCCTATCTAGACCGGGCTTTTTTGAGCTTGGTGGGACATCTTATTCCAATGATGCAGAATTGTTGCCAACAATATTCTAGGAAAAGTCACCAAGTTTGGCCGTTCTAGCGCTAGCCGTTCAGACGCTACGTGACATCAAAGTTGGCACGGGCACTTTTAGCCCCCCCCCCCCCCCCATCTAGATAGGGTTAACATGGTAGAAACCGGAATAGTAATATCTAGTAGTTTTACTTACTACCGTAGTTAGGTCCTGAATTACCAGCCGTGGATTTTATTTACTAAACTATATTACTGTAAAGTCTGATGCTGTTGTAGAACATTATCTATCATAACTTATAACTTTTGAGACTGTACAATGAGACTTTGTAATAATCTGGTATTTCGTGCCCCTTTCAAGTATAGTATCCGAATGAATGTGTTTTTTAATGCCATTCTTTCAGAATTGTTTTTAACTAGTTTAAATGTCCCAGCTACTAAATATATCTATTATAAAGGTTATGAATGATGAAAAATGTTTTTAAATGTACATTATACGGTGAATTTTAGTATTGTGTAAGTAGCAATTTCAATTTAACGTATTTTTCGAAATGTAATAAGATACTAGCAATTGTAACGTGCGTGCGACTTGTGTACAAACCTCACAATTCAGCCGTGAGGCTGCGATGGGTTTTGGTTTTCAATAAACAATCAATAAACAATGATAACTTACATCACTACCATTTGTAAATCGAACATTTAATGCAGAATAGAAATGGAAAAATAGAAATGAATGACAAACATAGAAGTTCTTTGTCCTTTTGCAAACGTAAACTATAATAATAGGGATACTTATATTGTCATAATGACTACACCAAGTGCATTGACATTGCAATTGTTGCAACGTGCCTTTGTGTTGTACCACGTATCACAGACTGATTGTGGAATAGATTGCTACTTAGGTCAAATTAACTCTTGCTTATTGGTTGATTAATGAGATGAAGTCATTGAAGAAACGTATTGAGGAGACCCATCCCAGTGACCAGATCTTGCCAGCCAGGGATTGAGACGTTCGTATTAGCAAGAAAATTTCATGGGTGACGTCCTCCGCAGACTTCAAATCTAATGCAAGAGGGCGAAAAAAAAAGGCCGACAAAAATTCCTACATTTTCAAATGTTGGCATTCCTGAATTGTGCTTTGTTTACTGCCAACTATTACAACATCCATTGGTCACCGAAACAACTATAAAAATATTTCAATCACTGTGCAAATGTATTTGATGCGGTGGGAACATGTAAAAGGATTCAAATATTATACATCACTGCATTAAATAAAAGGCAAAACATTAGATCAGAGCCTTGTCCTGTCTTGTCCTCTTTCTTTACATTTATCTGCCATCCACGTTCCGTCATGGCAACAGGCATTTTCAAGCATTTTCGACATGTTGACCACTGTCAGAGGTTAACATTTTTTTTTCAAAATCAGGCGAAAATCAATGCGCGCGGTGATGTCATCCATAAAAATTACTAGCTCTGGCCTAACGTTTACCTGTGTGCTGATGAAGTATTTGTGTTGCCCTGGGATTTGTGGACAGTAGCGCACTAATGACGATGACTTCTGCTCGGACCATTTGCCCCACTACTATTAATGGGATTACACCCAATTGTACAGTATCTGACAACATAAACGTTCCCCTGCAGAACTTCAACATAAAAGTATTCAAATGCCAACGTCTCTCTGTGGACAGTGGTTTAAAAATTAAGAAAATGTCCAGGGAGATAGTGTTGGTAGATAAATCTTTGCTTAAAGATACTAACATCTATCTTCCAACCTAAAACGGGCCTTGCCTTGGCGCTATTCAATGTCACTGTAGTAAACTCTTATCAACCTGTTCAAATAACACCCATGACATATATAAAAACAATTTCTGGCAACGATCATAATAACTGCAAACGCATGTCTAAAGTAGTCAATACAAAAGAAACAAAACATGGGATAAAACGTCGAATAGATCATTGCTA